CAGAAAGAGGAAATTTGATGAGTAAGAATCTTCGAATTGATGAGAATATAAAACAATTAAGGTACATGCAACATGGACACACAACTTAGAGTTGTAGAATAATGCTGCATTTAGAGATATATGGTGTGGATGCTTGAGAGTTGGCCAAAGATAGGTTAGTTTCCTCTAAAATTTATATTAGTGAGGTATTAACGGTCTGGGAACTTACCTGTCTTGTTCCATCAAGGTTTCTTCCATTGACCTTTGGCAACTTAGGAGCTTCGTGTTTGACAGCATTCATTGTTCTATTATGAGACCTCTAATACTCTTAAGCAAGAGAGTATGTCTTTTACAACATATAAATTAAGTGTGACACATAAACATTAAGTGCACATACTTTACTTTAATTTTATTATGCATAGGAACCCCAACTTGCTTTACATAACTTAAGGGAAATAACACTTTATACTCATGTTATGTTTCATCAAGTCTTGTTCCATTAAGCAATTCACAAGAATAAGACAAGCCAAGACATACATAAGAGAGTCGATTCACAAATTTATTGCACTCATACTATAAATTTATCAATTCAACTCATATAATGACATAATGTGAAAAGGAACTTATACCTTATGTAGCCCTTTACCATGAAAAGATATAACTTTGAAATATTGGTTGATATGATGGCTTACCTTGGAGTTCTTGAAGTGGTAGTTCTGTTCCTTGATGATCTCGAATCTAATATGAAATTTCACTTCTAACTCAAGTTCGATTGTAAGTGGTTGATGCATATAAATACATTTTCTTATCATAGGATTAGCAAAAACCCATGTACAATGACTCGTTACTTGTACCATAAATTTTATCAATGTAAATAAGTAACTAATAAATTAGTCCATCTTGAAAACAAAAATTGACAATTTTAAAGCTCAATTTTCAAGAAGGAACTTGGATAACATTCTATCCTAGAGTGTGTTCCACATAGACGTCTATAATAAAAATTCATATGAAAGGCATGCAAGATATCCATGTGGTACAACTCTAATCCCATATATACAACAATAACAAATAATATTCCATTACCTTCAAGTCTAGCTACACGAGTACATACCTTTACATTGGTTGTTTCTTTTGAGAACCAACCTAGCCTTGTTCCTTTCACGTACCTTACTCAACAAGCTTTTTCCAGAATACCTTGTTTAACTTCTGATCCCTTAAGGTATTCTATAACAGGTTCAGGATGTAACATACACCTTCTTCCTTTTAAGCTCATAGAATTCCTGTTGCACATCTTACCTTCAAACTGCATCCTCAAATGCTTCAATGTAGTATGAGGCTTAGCGTTGGTTACAGATGTGTGGAAGACACTATAGTTCCTTAATTTATTGAGATATTCCTGGTCAAAACTAATATTATCTCAGCTCTGGAACCTCGTCGAAACTTGCTTTCTTGTATTGATTTCCTTGAACTTTTCTTCATGAGTTGGAACTTAACATCTAAAAGTTCCTAAACATAAGGCGACGTAGCTAGCCCTTGCTGTTATTCTTAGTGACATATTTCTTCATTAGAAACTCAACTAGTTCTACAAGAACTTGTGAGCTCATCCTTTATCTTTAACCCGTTTAATGGGTGCAAACATGTTAGTCTCAAAAGAAAGTATGTTCACTTATTGCACATTAAACATGATAATGTAAACTCTTTATGTTTTACTATCTTAGGCGTTTATGGATAAATCTCCTTGGCACTTCTATCATCAAACATCCCTAAGTGGAACATAGGGTTTCATGTTAATTAAATATCTATTGTTTCCATGTTGATGAAATAGAAAGAGGTATTGAAAACTATTCCAAAAGTTCCTACAAAGGTCATTAGTATATAACATCATTTTCCTCGCGTCTTTCAAGATTCAAAGCTGGAAACTTGTTGTCAATCCTGTGTTCCTGCAAGAATCATCAAACATGACTGGAACTGGGTTTTGTGGTTAGATCTTTAATTTCATAATTGATGAACACTTAGCCAAAATATCCCAATTTAGAAAAGAATATAAAATCAACAACTACTTCATCTTTTTTATGAAGGAAAAAAACCAATTGTTTCTTTGCATTCATCACTTATAAACTAGACATTTCTTTCAATTAGCCTCTACATATCATTTGGTAAACAAATCCATATCACTAAGATCTAATGGATTAGTATTTCTTACCATCTAACTGATGTTGAAAGAGAATATAACATGTTTTGATTCTCATGCTCCTCGATCTTAACCTATTTGGAACTTATATATACATATACCTCTTATCACATTCCTACTAGGTTTATCAAGAATGAAAAGATTAACATGTTTAAGGTTTGAGACATAGAAGTATTTCATCTTCAATAAAACCTAGAAATGTCAAGTTGTTGTTAGGAACCAACTTGAGATCCACAAATGATGTGTTCCTTATTTGATTCCCTTCATTTGTGACATTTCCACTCTTTATTGATGATGTCATCTTAAATCCATAAAACATCTAGAGTTACAAGAATTTAAAAACCAGAATGTGCATCAAAAACTTGTCAAGGAAAATATTCACAATAGGATAGGAACTTGACTTACTAACTTCTTGTTTTGCACCGATCTTACCTTCCTTGTTAGTGTTATAAGTCAAAGTTCTCCCATTGTAGGCTTATAGCAGGAAATATCTTGATTTGACTTTCATCAGCCCTTTGGAACCTCGTTGTCGAGATGCCACGAGTTTCCTCCTACTATGAACCTTCAACTCTCCATGTTTCTATAGATATCAAGTTGGAACATGTCCTTTTAGTCCTTTCGACCATTGAATCTTGGGTAGAGGAATGTGTTGATTTAATCTCAAATTCTTCACACCTTGTCAAAGTTCCTCATATATTCATTCAAATATAACATGAAAATCAAAACCTAAGAGATTCCTTTTTGCTTTCAAAATGTCAATAGGTTAATCAAAAGAGATAGATAAAACTTATAGCATAAAAATATTGAAGCATCGAGTTCCTGTAAGGGATACTTCCTTTTTGGATGTCGTTCCATAAAAGAAATTAAAAGAAATTATGAATCTTCAACACTTAGTTAAAGATAATCACCTTGCTTCATCATCCTTCGAAAGGGAATGTTACAGAAATTTATGCTTTGTTCCATGGAACTTTGACCAATTCGAACTTGATTGGAACTTGAACAAGAAGCTAAACAGGAACTTATACATGCTGGCTGAAAATAGTAGGTTTTAAGGTTTTACAGGTACACTTGTAGGTTTATTTTTTGGCTGATTTACTGATATTTTGTAAAAAAAAAAAATAAAAAAAAAATAAAAATTACAGCAATTATCGCTACTTCAAGTAGCGGTGTCTATTTTATAAACCGCTACTTGTTTCGAGACAAACCGCTACTTCAAGTAGCGGTGTATGAAATTGAAACCAAGTAGCGGTTTATTTCCAGAACACTGCTACTTCAAGTAGCGGTTTGTTGCTGGACCGATAAAAAAAAAAAAAAAAAAAACCGATTTTTCCCCTTAGCTGACATGGACGAAATGGTGGGAATTAAAAAAAGATTGGCTATATTTTGAAAATTGCGTGTTTTCCAACAATATTTAGAGAAAGGGCTCACTTCTTGTTTACCTTTCTTTTTAATTTTTTTTTTAAAAAACTCCGCATCATCATATCCAGTGGCGGTTCTGGGCCGGAGCAAGGTGGTCGACGGACAGGGCTCCCAAATTTGAGGGGCCCCCAAATTTAGATATATATAATTAAGTTTGGCATATTATCTTAAAATTGTAGTTGGTGTAGTGGTTAGAGCAATTGTCTTGTGTACCCAATGTCTTGGGTTCAAGACATGCATCAAACAATTTTCTAAATTTTTGGGTAGCTGACAGCTGGCTTGATACATTGAATGTAGACATGTATTCAATAGTCTCAGAAACTCCACCCAAAAAAATCTGATTTCCTTTTTCGGTTTTTCCCCAAAAAATTTCAATCTATTATTTCAATTCCAAAAAAAAACTCTACATCTTCTAAACTTTATATTTTTCATTTACTTTCTTTTTTTATCTTCTTCATTTTCTACAATTATTCAATTAATTTTCAAAATTTTCATCTCCCAAAATTAATTTTCCCAATATTAGTTCATATTTCAACGGTTAAATCTTCAATTTGAAGATGAAATTAATTATTAAACCGTTGTTAATCTCCCAATTTTTCCTATATATGAATTTTATTTACTCTTTCAAATTTAAGGCCCCATTTTAAAAAGTTGAACAGGACCCCATAAATAATTTGCAATTTTAGCCCCGGCACTGTCATATCATACACTGATATAGTAGCTTATCATATGGTAGAGTGTAGTTAAATTGTTTATATTTTGTTCAATGGAGTGAGTAAATTCCAAATAAATCCGAATAAATGCCTGGCTAGCTACAATTATAACAGTAATGATAAAATGTCATTTTGTTGCATACGATAATACATGCATGCACAATAGAAGACTGTGTACATTTGTAGTCTGCAGGGACTGATGATAAAGGCATCGAATTTAATGACTTCCTAGCTCCATTTTCTTACTAAGTTACAAGTGTTGTACACCGTGTGTTTTATTTAAGTGCACTATTTTGAATAATGTTACTCCTTATTACATTACTCGTATATTACACATATATGGTCATTTGAGTATGTAAATGTAAAAATCATCTTAATTTATGTCGTATACTTTTCAAAGATAAACTTTTCATAATTTAAATTTATTAATAATTAAATCTAGTACTGTCTAAAGTTCGTTCCGTGTTGACATGGTTTAAATAAGACACTAAATAAAAACAGAGAAAACACCATCAACGTATATAACTAATACTCCCTCCGTCCCTTTATTTTTGCCCCATTGCCATTTTTTGGGTCAAACTTTGAAAATTTTGACCATAAATTACCGTTAATCTTTAAAAGACAATATAGTCATGAATGGTCTTCTTAGATTCGTCTCATTGTATACTTTATTAATATTACGTTTGTATAATTTTTACGTGTATGACAATAAAAATTTAGACATTTTAAGACGCGTTTTAAAGATCGTGCACAGTCAAATGAGATAAAAAAATAGAGACAGAGAGAGTAATGATGATACGCACCACTTGTAATAATGTGCATAAAAAACTTATTACGTGTGTTAAGACATTACTGTAATATTTTTCATGAGAATCATAACTTTGTCATCGACAACTATAAAAGCCATGCATGCCACAATACAACTTCATCATCCGATTACAAATGAAATAAAAAAAAAATTAAAAAACAATGAAGGAAAAACAGTTGAAAGTATTGATACATCCATGGTTAGCCATGGGTCATTTTATTCCATATCTTCATCTTGCTAACAAATTTGCCGAGAGAGGCCACATTGTCACTCTATTGCTCCCAAACAAGGCCAAATTTTTTTTACAATCTAAAAACTTTCATCCGTCCTTTATAACCTTACATACAATCACTATTCCCCAAGTTCATCCACTCCCTTCGGATACGGAAACCGCTTCGGATATTCCCTTCCACCTCCAAACCCACCTTGCCACCGCTTTAGACCTCACTCGGGTTGAGTTTGAGTCTATCCTTGTTAGACTTCAACCTAACCTCGTCATTTATGACTTTACCTACTGGGTTCCAGAGGCAGTAGTTGCCTCTGGGTCCCAGGCCAAGTGTGTGGCCTACTCTATAGTTTCCGCCGTGGCCATGGCCTTTACTATGGTCCCATCTCGGGACCCACCAAAAGACAAAGTCGTGTTTGAGGAGGATGCCTGTGTTGCAATTGCACCACCAGGCTACCCTTCGTCCACGGTCATTATAGACCCAAAGACAATGATTCGATCATTGTATGTGCCATTTGGCGAGGGGGTGACCTTTTACGAGCGGATCACCACCTCGCTTAGGCGTAGCGACGCAATCGCTATCAAAACCTGCCGAGAGATAGAAGGCAAGTATTGTGACTACTTATCTAAGCAGTTCAATAACAAGCCAATCCTCCTCTCGGGCCTAGACCTCCCTGAGCCCAATAGGCCCAATGAAACAATTCTAGAGGCCCATTGGACAGATTGGCTAAGCCAATTCTCACCAAGATCAGTGGTGTTTTGTGTTTTTGGGAGTCAAGTCATACTCGACGTGGCCCAATTTCAAGAGCTCCTACTCGGATTTGAAATGACAAATTTACCCTTTTTGGCCGCATTCAAGCCCCCCACTGGCTATGCAACCGTGGAGGAGGCATTCCCCGATGGGTTTGCAAAGAGGGTCGGTGATCGAGGGGTGGTAACGGGGGCATGGGTGCAACAGCAACAAATACTAGCACACCCATCAGTCGGATGCTTTGTAAGCCATTGTGGATCAGGAAGTATATGGGAGGGTATGTTGAGTAAAAATCAGATAGTGTTGATGCCGCAATTACACGAACAAGTCTTATTTACAAAAATATTTACGACGGAGTTGAAAGTGGCTGTGGAAGTAGACCGAGGAGAGGATGGAATTTGGGTGTCAAGGGAGAGTTTGTGTAAAGCTATTAAATCTGTGATGGATGAAAGTTGTGAGATTAGTGGTTTAATTAAGAAAAACCATGAAATTTGTAGGCAAAAATTAGGTCAACCTGGATTAATGAGTGGTTACTTCGACAAATTTGTTAAGGATTTGCAAGCTCTCGTTAGTAATCACGTAGTCTGATCTAAATGTTGGTTGTTGTTCCTCGTAGATTTGTCTCCTTTGCCATTAGGTTAGTGTCTTAAAGTTGAATTTGTTGTTTTGTAAGCAATTTATTTATTGTACCATGTTCTTATATACTCCCTCCGTGTTTTAATAAGTGTTAAACTTTTATTTTTGACAAAAAGTTACATTTTAATATTGAGTAGGTATTGTTTGCGGATTGTTGTACGCATAATTACGTGCGGCAGACTTAACTGATATGTTTCATTCGTTGGCTGATATATTTATTTTGTTAGCTGATATGTTTTTTTTTTAAGTTTGATATGTTCCTTTTGTTGGCTGCTATCAGACATCAGTTGACTGCTATGTTTCTTTAGTTGGATGATATCTTTATTTTGTTGGCTGATATGTATATTTTGTTAGCTTATACGTTTCATTTTGTTGTCTGATATGTTTATTTTGTTGGCTTACATGTTGCTTTTGTTTGCTGATTTCATCCTTTTATTGGCTTATATGTTCATTATGTTGGCTGATATGTATCTTTTATTGGCTGATATAGTCCTTTTGTTGGCTGATATGTTCTTTTTGTTGGTTGATACGTTTTTATTAATGTCTGATATATTCTTAATGTTGACTGATATCAAACATCAATTGGCTGATATGTTCCTTTTATTGGCTAACATTTGTATTTTGTTTGCTGATCCATATAATTAACCATTCATCCAACAAAAAATAAGATATATTATACAAGACCAAAAAGTTTAGCAATATCACTAAACGTCAAATTAATGGCGTCACTCACCATGCCGCATCCAATAATTTGTGTTTAATATTATATATCTCTCTTTTCATAGTTCCCACCCAAACCTAAAATTACTTTTTTTTTATTATTTTTTTTCCTCTCACATTCATTACTTTTCAATAATCTATTAATCACTATCTTTGTTTCACAATTTTGTAATATTCTAACTACCTCACTTACTTCTTATTTTATTTAAGTCAATTAAATTGCCTAAAATTATATGCTAATTACGACTCCGATAGGTATTTAATTCAATTTTTTTAATAATTTTATTTTACTCATTTGTTGAATTTTTTACTAGGAGACGAATTTCATCCAAAAAGTGTTAATTACGACTCCAATAGGTATTTCTTCTTCGTTTTTTTTTAAACTTTACGCTCATCATTTTTAGCTACAAATAATGCTTGTAATTATCAACAATTCTATCTATGATAAATCTCAATTGTTAAAACAAATTACAATTAACTATTCTTCTAAATTGGGAAATTAAATTTATTAGTCATTTCAATAGCAAAAATGAGAGTAAAATATGAAAATACTTGTATGAGTTGTGATCGGTAATTTTTTTTTTTTTTTAAGAAAAATTCATCAAATGCTAGCAAAAAAAACTAATAACAATACAAAAGGTTTTGCACGAATCGGGTGTGTACAGTAAATTTATACTGTACATCCGGTTATTGCATACCAAAAAGTTACCCTTAATCTCATAAAAGTTATTCTTATTACTTAGTTACTTTTATTCTCACAAAATTAGCCTTAAACTATCAAAGGTTACTAATACTACCCAGTTACTTTTATCCTCACAAATCACCCTATCTATAAATAATACTAAAACAACAACCGCTGACATCATCTCTAACCTCAAATGTACACATGTTATTCTCATGAAAAATTTTCCCGCCTAAATAAAAATAATAGCATCATAATTTACTTATTTTTTAAGGTTAAAGCTGTTTCAAATTCTTTGACTATTTTTTACTCTGAATAAGTGTGTATACTACTCAAATACCATTTTTATCTTTGAGTAAATTTATTTGGTATTTTTTATTTGATAATACTTTCTCCTTGTAACACATGCTTCCCAATCTATATATCTATATATATAACTATACAACTATACTAAAAATATAATATTTTTTTTAAAAAAAATTTCCTTCTAAACTCTACTTTATATATATTATTTTTGTAAAATTATTAATTTGCCCAGAAACTCTATTATTTAATTTTATTGTTATAATTAACTTTTGAAGTCACATTTTTCTTGATATTTCTACATTTGAATTTCAAATACCAATTTTTAAAAATCAAACATAACTCGGAAAATATCTATTAAACTATCAAAAGTCACCTGTAACGTCACAAAAATTACCCATATTTTTTTTTCCCGCCACACAGTAGATTACTCTACACCCGGATTTAAAAACAGTTGTCAAACTAATAAATGATAAAAATGAAAGGTAGTTAGTAGTAAATGAAATAAATAGTTAAAAAGGTATTAATTTCAATAAAGTTAAAAAAAATAAAAAAAAAAAAAAAAAAAAAGTAGTGAAAACTAATTTTCTGTTTTATATACGTATAATACTAAGTAACTTGGTTGTTTTTTGCTCCTTCCATCCATTATAAATTGCCTCATCTTTATTTTTCTTTGTCAAAATAAAAATTAGTGTATCAATGCTTTTAATAAATTAAAATGTAAAAATATGTTTCATAAATGGTCAAATAGTATATTAATATAGAGCGGAGGGAGTATATGTGAAGAATTTGAAGATTATATGAATTGCTAATTTCGTACGCTGCCAAGAAAATTATTATTGCGGAGTCATATGTTCAATTGTTCCACAAATGATACGAGTAATTACCTTGAAAAACCTAAAGAATGTCTTTGAAAGATATTTGCCCAAGATTAATGTTATGTTCATCCAAAAATCATTTCATAAAAAGAGAGTGAGGGTGGCAAAAAAAAAAAGAAGAAAAAAAAGAAGAAAAAAAAAAAAAAAAACCTTTTTCATAAAAGGCTAGACAAATATCCTCACGATATTTTCCAACATATGCACCCCATGTAATCATTAGGCATAATGTTAAAAATAATAATTACATGCAATTATAGTTAGCCAAAATATAAATAAATAAAATCCTACAACCACCTTAATCTGCCAACACTGATTTCTAATCACTCCAATTTATATGCACTCTTCGTTTAAAGGAATCTCTAATTTAATTTTGCTGAAACTTAAGAGTTTTGATAATGATTAGTAAAAGCTAACTTCAACTAATGCGTTCTCTCTAAGTATTTAATTAGAACAGGTGAATTTGACATTGGAAATGGAAGAGTAGCCCGCCTATGAAGATCCAAGGAGAATATTAGGGAAGATAAAGAGAATAGAATAAGAGTTCCTCATTGGAATTAAAAGTGGTCCCTAACATGAACACAAAGAAGAAGTTCCCTAACGGGAGCTTGACAGCAAGCTAAGAAGACTAGCTTGGACTGTGTTAAAGAGAGCAAGTTCTACAAGAAGTTGGTCTGTGAGTTCCAGCAACGAGCTGGAGAGCTGAAGATAGCAGGAACTCAGTCCTGGTCTACGTAGAGCCCAAGTATTCTTATAATGCAAGGATTGAGGAGACAATCCAGCAATAGACTAAAAGTCTTATTATTAAGGTTTTTGTTAAGTTTATTTTTACTAGGATTGTTGTAAATGTGTTTGGTTAGTTTATGCATGAATTCTATTAGAAGCGTGGCAAAACTTGGCAAGCGTTTAAATATGGAAAGTTTTATAAAAGATAAGTTTTAATTTAGGAAAAGATCTTTAAGAGATTTTATCTTAAAAAATCTGGTTTTGCAAAATAATAATCTTTTCCGAATTATATCTTTGTTAAGTTTTCCGAAAGATTTTCTTCAAAAGATTAATTTCACAAGGGTTTTATAAAACGACAGTTTTCTAATATTCTATCTTCTGAAAACCCTACTTTACATACAAGTACTCCTTATATATAAAGGAGAGATCATAATTGAAACAACTTTTGAGTTTGTGCGTGAAAAATCTAAAGAGCGCTTAAAGTGTAAGTTTGCCAAGTCTAAGCTTTGTCATATTAGTTTCGGATTTCATGTGTAGCTTTCAGGTCACTTATTAGAGTCAAGAGTTTGTATTGTTTTGGTATTGGGTGAGTGATTAGCATATTGCATACAATTTGTAGGCTTCAAGGTTGAAGCTGAGTTGTGAATACTCCGGGAGAACTGAGTGAATCTAAGTCCGGGACTTAGGTTGGGTAGGATAGGGTCCTATCGTATAGCAAGTTCAGTCAGGAACTTGTGAGAAAGGTCTGATTGTAATAGGTTGTAACTAGGTGTGTTTGGCCTATTATAGTGGATTGGGTTGGAGTTTGAAAACCCTTGGAGGATCGAGGTTTTAATTCCAATTAGGCCATGGAAGGTTTTCTCGTAAAATCCTATGTGCATTGCAAGTTCCTTTAATACTCTGTTTTATAATTCCGCAAAAAGTAGTCACTAGGAATTCTCTACAATTCACCCCCCCTTGTAGAAGTTCGTCTCAACTAACAATTGGTATCAGAGCAGGTTCTGACGTATAAACAAATAACTTTGTTGAGTAAGTTCCTGAGGAAAGATGAATTATCGAGAGAAGCTTGAAGAAGGGTACTCTACTTAACGTCCACCTTTGTTCAATGGTAAGTTCTATACCTACAAGAAGAACAGGATGGAGATCTTCATAAAGGCTGAAAATTACCTGATTTGACATGTTATCAAGTCTGGTGATTTTGAGGTAACCAAAACTAATGGAAAAAACGAGGTAGTTCCTAAAACTTTATCAGATTTTGATAAGGAACATTTTCAAAAATATGAATTGAATGCTTTAGCAATAAAACTGTGGCATTGTGGAGTTAGACCCCATGAACACAATAGCATCATGGGATGTAAGTCTGCTAAGCAAATATGAGATCTACTTGAAGTTACTCATGAAGGTACAAACGAGGTAAAACGTTCTAAAATTGATTTATAGGCTTTTTCACTATACACCACTGAGTTTTCACTTAATTCACCATATACCATCGATTGAAAACTTTCAAATTCACCATATACCACTGAGTTTAACAAAAATGTCACAACATGCCCTTTTCATTAACTCTGTTACTCATTATTAGTTAATTAAGCCATGTGGCAGCCTCTAATTGGCTCTTATTTTTATTAATTAATTAATTTTAAAAAGATTTTTACAAAAATTAGTAAAAAAAAATCACCACCACTTACTGCCCAACAACCATCTCGACCTCCTAAACCACCACCTAGCCTTACCCCTCGTTGCGGCTCCTAACTGCTCTCCCCACCGCACCGACGCCGCACAACCTCCTTGCCCTGCGCCATTGCCGCGTCCCTCCCCTAAACCACCATACCCAAATCGAATTCCCCCTCCCCCCCCGGCTGAAAATCACCAGCCAAAACACCTTTGTCGAAAACCACCATGCCGAAACCCAACGCTGGCGGCACTGATCCCCCTCCTTTACATCGACGACGCCCGATAAAGCTGCAAACAACCAACCCAAAACCCCAAAACCCAATATCAAAACCCTAGATTTTGATTTTGGGGTTTTAGAGTTTTGGGATGGTGGTTTAGAGGAGGGAAAGGGGTGGCGTTGGAAGAGGGAGGGGTGACTTAGGTTCGCTGGCAAGGCAAAGGGGTTTTGGTACCGTCAGTGGTTGGGGATCGAGAGTTTTTCAAGGGAGGGAGAGGGTTTTAAGGTGGTGGGATAGTGGTGGTGGCTGGCTAGGTCAGATTCCGCACCGGCTGGTCGGATTCCTTGCCGACTGGCTCAAAGTGACAAAGCACTTAAGACTCACATGGAACATAGTGAATGGATAGATAATATGAGACTTGATATTCAACAAAGATTCTTCGATTTGTTTGATGATAATTTGAAATTAAAAGAAACTGTTGAAATTTTAAAACAAGATAATATACTAATGAATGTGGAAATTTTTTTGTTAAAACTTAGTGGTGTCACTCCTAACTCTGAAGTTCCTCTTCTAGATCAATATCCGAATTTTGAAAAATTGAAATCTAATTTAAAAGAATTATTGGATAAGGCTGGACTTGAGGGGGAACTTGAAAGCGCTAGGAAGGGCAACAACTAGTTAAGTATATTATACCTGACTGGATTACCAATGCTCAAACCAAAAGAACTGAGGGTTTAGGGTATAAAAAGAAGTTCCAAAAAGAAAAGAAGTATGTTGATCTACCTAGTATTATTGTTTGTTATTTCTGTGGTATGACAAGGCATAAGCAAAATAAGTGTCCTAAGAAAGACAAGAGCACTCTTAAAAACGAAAATCATGTTAAACAGATATGAATCAAGAAATCTGATTCTACATCTGTTACACAGGAACCCAAAGAGACTTAGATTCCTAACACTAACGTTTGATTTTCATTCAAGCTCTAGTGAGGGGGAACAACACGTGGTACCTCGATAGCGATTGTTCTAAGCACATGACTAGTGAAGATTTCTCTCATTGGATGCATACTATGGTGGGACTGTGACCTTTGGTGATAACATGAAAGGTGAAATCATTGCCATTGGAAAAGTAGGAAGGTCAAGTTCACATGCTATTGATAATGTATTTTTGGTCGAGGGTTTGAACCACAACTTGTTAAGTATTTCGCAATTCTATGACAAAGGTAACTTTGTTAGCTTTACTTCCAATTCATGCATAATCATTAACAATGACACTAGGAACATTATATTAGAAGGAACTCGTAAAGGGAACACTTATATAGTGGATCTTAACGAAATTCCTAATAGTAGTTTGACTTGTCTCAGTGTTATTGAGGATGATCCATTGCTATGGCATAAAAGATTTGGCCATGCAAGTTTTTCTTTACTAGACAAGTTTAGATCTAAGGAACTTGTGGAAGGTCTTCCATTCATCAAGTTCCTAAAAGATAAAGTCTGTCATGCATGTGTCAAAGGAAAACAAACTCGTGTTTCTTTTAAATCTAAAAATATGGTAAGCACCAAAAGGCCTTTGGAACTCATTCATATGAATCTCTGTGGTCCAATGAGAATCCAAAGCAGAAGTGGTAAGAGGTATGTTATGGTT